GTCAGCAGTATTTTACAATTCACTTAATTGTGAATTGGTGTATCTTCAGTTCAGATTAAGTCTCTTAGTCAGTATTAAATTACTGAATTCTTAAGTCATGCAATCAGAAAGTATAAGCTTTCAGTTAAGCTTGTACATCTCAATTTCACTGTTCCTGAGGAACTCTTGAAGAGGTTAACTTGAGCACCAGCGTTGATTATTCCCGATCCTTCTCGGAGTTTCACTATTTTCAGCGATGCTTCGAGGCAGGGCTTGGGATGTGTCCTTATGCAGGACGAACAGGTCGTTGCGTACACTTCACGTCAGCTTAAACCCCATGAGTATAACTATCCTACGCACGACTTAGAATTAGCCGCAGTCGTTCATGCCCTGAAGATCTGGCGTCATTATCTTTACGGCAGACGATGCGAGATATTCACTGACCAAAAGAGCCTACAGTACATCTTTTCATAGAAGGAGCTTAATATGAGGCAGCGCTGTTGGCTCGAGTTGGTCAAGGATTATGATTGTTCTATCCAGTACCATCCGGGGAAGGCGAACGTCGTCGCAGATGCCCTAAGCCGAAAGGTGACGGGAGATTTGACGTACGTCATCACCCAACAGAGTCCATTGATCCAGGAGTTCGCCCGGATGCAGCTTCAGGCGATTGACGCACTCCCTATAGCTGTTTCGGGGAGCACTAGTGCCAGTGTCAGTGCTATGCAGTTGCAGCCGACACTGAGGGAGAGGATCCGGCGAGAGCAGGCTTCCGACGAGTTTGTACGTGTCATGAAGGCCAAGGTTCACGCCGGAAGAGGACAGGATTTCCAGTTAGGCACCGATGGTGCCCTGGAGTTCAGAGGCAGGATCGTGGTCCCGAAGGCCGAGGCATTGCGGAAGGAGATTCTATCTGAAGCACATACCGCACCTTACTTGGCCCATCCCGGGAGCACGAAGATGTACCACGACCTGAAGGGGTCGTTTTGGTGGAAAGGCATGAAGAAGGACGTTGCAGAGTTCGTTAGGCGATGTCTTACCTGTCAGCAAGTCAAGGCCAAACATCAGAGTCCGATTGGCCTCCTACAGCCACTGCCAATTCCGCGGTGGAAGTGGGAGGAAGTTACTATGAATTTCATTACGGGATTGCCGAGGTCGGCTGAACATCACGACGCCATTTGGGTCGTGGTGGACAGACTGACGAAAGTGGCGCACTTCTTACCCGTTTCGATGAGGATGTCTCTGGACTAGTTGGCTGAGATATACACCAGTGGGATCATCAGACTCCACGGAGTGCCTGTCACGATTGTATCAGATCGAGATCCCAGATTCGTTAGCCGATTCTGGCATAGCTTACATGAGGCGATGGGCACCAAGCTTGAGTTCAGTTCAGCCTACCATCCGGAGACGGACGGTCAGTCAGAACGGACGATTCAGACACTCAAGGATATGCTACGCGCCTTGGTTGTTGACAGGGGTGCCAAGTGGGAGTCACTGTTG